CCTTCTTCCACTAGAGGGAGTTGTTGAACCTAAAATATTTTTAAATGAGACGTTTTTGAATTGACATTTAACATCACAGAAAACCACATTGTGCTGTTTTCCAAATATACTTGTTTTCCTTCCACATTGTCCAGAAACATAAACCAAAAAGTATGATTCTGAGTATGTACTTATATAAACAACATTTCTCAGAATCCAAAATTGTAACAGTCTGAAGAATTCCTACTAAGTAGTGAGAAAAGTATCAGATTATTCTTTTCTAGTTTACAAAGCCTATCAATACAGCTGGCTATAACCTTAATTTAGTATGAAGTTATCTCCTCAAATATCTAGAACACGTTTCTCTTCCAAAAACCCCCAAAACCCAAACAGTTCTATAATCAAAAATAGGTTGTTGCAGTAGATTATAAATAGGTACTTACTTTTTATCATATTTATCATAGTTATAAATCCATAAGCTTACATATCCAGCAATTATACTTCTAAGCATTTATACAACAGAATCACCTACACGAACAACTGCCTAAAGATATATACAAAAATGGTGATTAATTTTTCTTTCTTCTTCCTTTTTTTTTTTTTTTTTTTTTTTGGCAGGAGCCAAGGGGCTGGAGTCTGGGGATTCAATCCAGGACTTCACACATGCTAGGCAAGCACACTACCACTGAGCTGCATCCTTAGTCCAGTATATCATTTTTAATTGAAGCAAATTTTTTTGAAAGAAAGAAAATGTCCATCTATAAGGGATTGCCAAAATATATTAGGAATATTCACATGACAGAAAAACTAAAATAATAAGGCATGGACAGCCCAAGATGAATGCAAAAATATTATTGAGGTATATAATTTCACTTATATAAATACATTGTATATGTTTATATATCCTTAAAAAGTGGAATTAAGGGAAAAGGGAGAAGACCTTTACTTTCTGCTTTTAAATCTTCCTAAATTAGGGACATTTTTTACAATGAATATCACATAATTTTATTAATTAAATATTAAGATATTTCCTGTTTGGGGGAAAGGGTAAGGGGGCAATTCAGTACCAGAGTCATTTTCTAGATCTTTTTCTATCCTTTTTTTTTTTAATTTTTTGTTTGTCTTAATTTTAGATGGACACAATACTTTTATTTTATATTTATTTTTATGTGGTGCGGAGGATCAAACCCAGTGTTTCACACGTGCTACATAAGTACTACCACTGAGCAGCAACCCCAACCCTCTAAGGCTTTTCCTAAGAGGACACCAGCAGACAGTTTTCCAAAAAAATTACAAAGAAATGTTCCTTGCTACCCTTAATCATTTAAGACAAACTTCCTAAATGTTTCCATTTCATGTAACTTCCTCCAAACTGAACCTAGAACACTGGGTCAGTCTTTGACATATTGCACCCCAGTCCCTAACAGCTGTCTTACCATACAAACTACAGATGCCTAAGCGTGGTGGGAATATTTTCTTCAGTACCCTGCCCCCAACTCTTCCTCTTCTTTCTTTAGTTCATGCTATTATTTTCAATCTACATTTCCCAAGTCTTCACAAACTCCCCCTTAATCATCAGACTAACCACTATATACAAACACCAAATTTAGTCATAGATAAAGAAAAGATAACTTCATTCCCCAAATCAGTTATAAATTTTGGAAATGCAAATACACACTAAAAAAAAAAATCTTCTAAATGTTTTCAATCCTACTAATAAATTACATGTTAAAATTAACTGAAAAAAAATGACAAAGGAAGGGCATGGCAGTTAAAAATAAAAAATTACTGGGGGCTGACAATATCAATGGTAAAGCATTTGCCTACCACATGCAAGGTCCTGGGTTCTATCCCAGCACTCAAAAATAAATAAAGCTTTACCACTGCCTGTCCCACACTGCCTTCAATGGAAAAGCTCATGGCAGATTAGCATCCTCAAAGTTCACACTGCAACTGCAGGAACAAAGAAAAGTAAGTACAAACAAATGTCAATTTTTAAATAGCAATTTTTTTCCAAAAATTTTTAGATGGTAATGAACCTTTATATTATTCTTTATATGCAGAGCTGAGACTCAAACCCAGTGCCTCACACATGCTAGACAAGCATTCCACCAACTGAACTACAACCCTAGCTAGCCCTTAGCAATTTTAAATAAATAAAATTTTAAAACTATTTTTCAAGACCAACACACTGTATCCTAAAATTACCAAGGTTTTGCTCTGTTTTGAAATTTCAAAGAATATTAAGGACAGAATTTTTGTTTATTCAAAAGAAAACATGCATTTTACAAAATGAGAAACATAATCTTAAAATGAGGTAACTTCTGAGGTAACTCTGTAAGAATTTACATTTATATTCCGAAGAAGTAAGCCTCTATTTAGCACTCCAATTCCTGGTAAAGAAAAGGGACATGGCATAAATTTTTCTTTTTTTAGAGTGAGTTTGAATTATAAAGCCCAGATGAAAGAAATATTATACTAGCTTTGTCTGTTAAAGATAGGGTTTCACAAGGGTTTTTTCCCCCAATGGATTTAAAAACTAAATTCCCTCAGAGAGCTACACAAAGAGAGCACTATGTGATACCAACACCTAATTATAGGATGAAAAACTAAACCCATCAACAGCAAGCAGAGAGAGAATGAAATTTTACTGTCCTTCAAATTGTGTTCAAAAAAGTGTTTTTAGAATATAAAGTCAGGTGATGGATGGTATCAAGCTTGATTTGTAAAAAGAAAAAATTTATTATGTTGATATTAAAAAAAAGATAAGAAATTGAGAAAGAAAGACCTAAACATTTCAATTACCAAATACAATCAAACTTATCTTACAAAAGCAGTAAAGCAAGACTTTGGTGGTAGTCACCCGGGAATATATTCCCTCATTCTTCTCTACAACATAATTACCATAGACCAACATGGAATTTGAAATTCTTTTTGGTACTTCATAATATAAAGTTTGGTATAAGCCACATTTGTTTCATTTGTGATTTATAGGCCTGATGAGGAAAACTAGACCAAAATCATATTACCCACATATTTAAATATATGTCTCTGAACCCTATTTTATAAGCTTAGGACTCTGGCTGGTAGCCCTACAGATTTCCAAATGTTTAGAAATGAAAGGGTTATTTTCCCTAAGTATGTCTGATAATTGTCTTAAAGGCTACCTGGAACAAATACAAACGCTCAAATATCATTTGCTCTCTGTGAAGTCTTTCCCCGTTTCTAAGGCAATTATCAATTTCTCTTTAATGATTCCACAGCATTCTGATCAAAAATGTTATTATATTACTATATATTTTTTCACTTTACAAATCTGTTGAAACACATTACAAACATTTAGAATACTGAAGATTCTAAACAGTGGTTGTGAGTGGGAAATTTCTCAGTGGCTGAACGCTAGCCCATCATGCACGATGCCCTGGGTTCCACCCCCAGCACCACAAAACATAAATAGAGTAGTCACACACTGGGACTAGAGTTGTATCTCAGTGGTGGAGCACTTGCCTTGCAAGTGTAAGGACCTGGGTTCGATTCTCAGCACCACATAAAGATAAACAAATAAAAATAAAGTTCTTGTGTCCATCTACAACTAAAAAAAATTTTTAAAAAAGAGTAGTCACACTGTCCTTCCAGATTCTACAGTTGGAATAACTATGAAGAAAAAAGCATTTTGCAAAGACCAAAAGTCTAGGAAGTTGTGGTTTTGTGGATATTCTGTATAGTTACACATACAACAAATTCAGTATTTCCACTGTTGAATGCCAGCTTTACTTTTTTTTTTCAGCTTTCATTCTTAAAGAAATAATGTATCTCATATTCTCTGCATATTTTTTGAGAGTTTCTGTCTTGCAAAGTTGTTTCTAACACAAAGTTACTCCAAAACTTGTTTTAGGTGAATATTTTTCATTGTTGTAAAAACACATATATTTTTTTAATATTTATTTTTTAGGTTTTTTTTTAGATGGACAAAATATCTTTATTTTATTTTTATGTGGTGCTGAGGATCGAATCCAGTGCCTCACGAATGCCAGGCGAGCGTGTTACCACTTGAGCCACATCCCGAGCCCCAACACATATCTTTGATATCTATATAAAAGCTATTTTTTTCTCTTATACAGAAAAAATTACTAAAGATACATATCTGATCACAAAGTAAATAATAGAAGAAATGATGGAAATTTATTTAAAATTTTGAGTTATTTGGTTTATGCAGTTTTTCCTCAAAAGGCTTAACCATTCCCAAATTTCACTTAAATACACAATAACACTTTCAACAGAATGAGTTTCTCCTATCTCTCCTTCAGAATAAAAACACATGATCTGAAAAAACACAAAGAACACTGGAATGAGAACCAGGAGGCTACACTGTGGTATTTTCCCCCATTAATCACTCAGTCTATGATCTGAGTAAATCAGACATTCCCTCAGGGGTTAAATGAAATCAGTAATTTTCAAATTGGACTATTTGAAGCCTTGGGGATTTGTGTTTAGGGGAAGGAAAAATAAAAGATAATTAAGAATTTGTACCTTTTAAAAAGAATTTAAAAATCACTATACTTCATCACTAAAATTGGTAAGGATCCTTTAGTGTTCAAAATCTAGTTAGTCTATTTCTTTATCCTATTTAAGACTTTTTTATTTGTTTATTTTTATGTGGTGCTGAGGATCGAACCCAGGGCATCTCACACGCTAGGCAAGTGCTCTACCACTGAGCCACAACCCAGCCCCCTATTTAAGACTTCTTTAGTCTCACATCTTAAATTGGAAAAACAAAATGCCAAATGCATATATGGCCTTCTTAAAAATCACATAATTTATGCAATGTAAGACACCCAACTCTACCAATAATCTCTTCTATTTGTAACACTTGCCCTAACTACAAATGAAACATGGCCTTCCAGAGATCAAAGGCTAGGAATTATTTTCCCCTTGAGTGAGCTTGTGAATTATCCTAATATAATTTTTAATATCATAAGCATTAAAAAGACATCTAAGGAACTGAATTATTTTTAAAATACCTGTACTATAAATTGTAACTCTCTTCTTTCTGCTTCCCATTGTTCTGCTTGTAATCTAAACTCCTCCAATGCTGTCTCCCTGATATGAGACTCCATCTCATTCTTCTCCTGCTGATGGTTTTCCAACGCTTCCTTTATATGAATAAAATCTTACTTTACTATTATATCAATAAAGGTTATCTTTTATCCTTCAACCCAGTTTAAATGTACAGAAGGGCTTTCCTTACCTATATAACAGTTAAAACTCATAATTCATGTAAAAATCCTAATAAAACTATCATTTTGATCATTAGAACATAAATCTGAGTAAGAAGCTAGAATTCTTATTTGTAACATAACATATACTCATGTGCAGACATATTTGACTGAATTTTTCTGAAAATTTTAACTTCAGAGATTGAAACAAAATGCAAAAAAACAAATTCCAGTTAATATGGAAATCTCAACCAATGAAATAAGTTATTTGAATTATCCCCAATAATTAATATACAACTATGACAGAAAATAATGTATTTCCAAAAGGAGAGAATGAAAGAAATTTGTGCAAAGAATCAGGATAAGGAAATTCCTGAATGCTAAAAATTTAAGTTACGTTTAGACCCTAATTTCTAGTTCTACAGATAAACAATATTTTTTAAAAGCTTCCTTTTGGATTTCCCTAGATATACTACATTTACAAGATCTAATTTGGTTCAAATCATTAAAGATATAAAACACAGGTTCCCTGAGAAGACCAATTTTCTAATCTATAAGCTTTAAAACTAAAACCCCATTGAATAGAAAAACTCTACGGTTTATATGAGAAAGCCTCCATGTCCACATGGATCTATTCAATAACTATTACCCTCAAAACTTTCACTAATGGTAAGCCATCACAAGACTGTTGAGGGTTTTTCCCCACTATTCACCTACACACAGTGACTCCTACTTGACTCCAAATTCTCCCAAAGGTCTCATGCAAATGGTTTCAAAGTCAATAGCCTAAACTCAAAGCATAGTTCTCTGAAGTTGCTGTAGAGATCATATCAAGATCTTTTATCTTGAGGTGCAGGCTGATTGTAAGAAATGCTGCCACCATCACCCCTCTTTCCCCATAGCTTCAATACATTTTATATGCGGAGGATTACACAGACCCACCTAAGGACTTGTAGTACCAGCCACCACCTACACGTCCACCATTCTAACACTAATGGAGCCCTTGGATAGACTAGGCACGATTACAGAATCTAGGAACACAGCAGTAAACAAAGTAGGGTTACAACACAAAGGGATCAAAAGTAGACCTGCTGACAATGTCTGAGAACCCTCGTGCCAAAACTTTTACCTTTAGTAAATATTTTTGTAAAATTAATCTTTAGTGAAGATACATTTCCAGAATTTAAAAAGAAAAATTTACACCAGTGATCTGTATAGAGCTTTTTTTTTTTCCTAATTTTAACTGTTGCTTCAAAAACATGACAAATATGGACAATTTAAAATCTACCATAAAAGTGGCTAACAACTCTAACTTTAAACTACACTTGTACTTTAAGGGATAAAAAGGAATTTTTTTAAATCAGAGAATGGCTCACAATAATTTTAGTAAAAGTTAAATATTTTATACTTCATAAGTATGTAGAATGTGCTATATATAGACACTGAAGTTTAAATCAAACATAGCAACATTTTTCTACATTTATCTTATATTCAAAACAAAACCTAGGGGCAGGGGATATAGTTCAGTTGGTAGAGTGCTTGCCTTGCATGCACAAGGCTCTGGTGGGTTCAATCCCCAACAACATACAAAAAAAAAAAAAAGACTTGGCCTCATATTTCTAAAATTCCAAATTTTCATGTTGCTAGACCAAAAAGGCTTTAGGTTCTTATCATTTTGCAATTTGCCTGCATAAGTGTTTTGCTATTTTTAATTTTTATCAGGGATATCAAACTTTTTCACAAAACAAATAGCATACATATTAATATTGCTAAAGCATATTATAAGAAAGAGCAACAAAAATGCATTTAAAAAAGAAAAAGGGAGAGAGATGGAAGAAAGGAAGGAAACCTAAGGATAATTTCAATATACATCACATCTCAATGGATATCATATATAGAAAAATTACTTCATAAAAAATACTTTACCTGTAGAGTTTTTTCAAGTCTGCTTTTTTCCTTCAAAAGTAAATCATATTCTGTATTGCAATTTTGAATTATATTGTCTCTTTCCTCCAAATCATGTTCAAATCTTCTACATTCTTCTTTCCATTTCTGCTGGGAACTCTGAAATACTTTCTCAATCTCATTTACCTTTTCTTGAAGTTCTGAATTCTGAGCTATTAACAGATAACAGAACAGTAGGTATATTTATAACCATGAATTAAGTCATTAGGAGTCTACAAATCTAAGCACTGGAGCTGATCCTATTTACAGCATGATTTTAGGATAAAACATTTAATCTTTCACTTTAGTAAACTCTTGAAAAACTTATTGCCCCTGAACCAATCTATTAATAGTTTCTCACTCTCTTCTTCTCCTTGATTCAAGGTGACTTTGTTATGAAAAAGGCATGCCCAAGAATAGATACTCCAGCAATTCTACTGCTTTTTCTCTTATTCAAGAAAAAAAAAAAATCAAGCTGGGCAATGTGGCACACGCCTGTAAACCCAGCAGCTCAGGAGGCTGAGGAAGGATTGTGAGTTCAAAACCAGCCTCAGCAACTTAGAGAGGTCCTAAGCAGCTCAAGGCGACTTTATCTCTAAGTAAAATATAAAAAAGGGCTGGGGACCTGGCTCAGTAGTTAAACACCTCTGGGTTCAATCTTCAGTACCAAAAGAAAACAAATCAAAAAATACATTTTAAAGACCATGACACAGTAATTTTTTTTTTTTTTTTTTTTTGCGGGGAGGATATCTAGGGATTGAACTCACAGGTACTCAACCTCTGAGCCACATCCCCAGCCCTATTTTGGATTTATTTAGAAACAGGGTTTCACTGAGATGCTTAGCACCTCACTTTTGCTGAGGCTAGCTTTGAACTCGTAATCTTCCTGCCTCAGTCTCCCAAGTCACGTATAACACTACTTTTTTTTAAAAGACTCAACAGATCATAAATTTTGGTATTTGACTATTGGTAACAGACTGGTTATGCCATATCTTACACATGAGACTGTCACAAAAGAGGGTGAGAACCATTACTCGAGCCTTTAGAACTGAAGCTCTTTACTCTTCCAAATTTATGCACTACTCATCTCTCACCCTGTTATCTCAACAATAAACAATACTTCTCAACATGCTACCATTGCTGTGTTTTAGCATCTAGAAAAGAAGGAAAAGTTTCCAGGTCTGGCTCTACCACCTACCATCAGAATAAACCTCTCTGACTCTCTAGCCCTCAGTAAGAATAAAAATGTTAAATTGCTATGAAGATAAAAACAAGGACACATGTATACAAACACACTTGTTTTGTTAAACAACAACAAAAATGCCAGTTATGTTAGTAGTATGATTTTAAAATTATATTTGAGTTGTTCTTTGTTTGTTTGTTTTTGGTACTAGGGATTGAGCCCAGGGGCACTTAACTACTGAGCCACATCCCAAGCTCTTTAAATATTTTATTTAGAGACAGGGTCTCACTAAGTTGCTTAGGACCTCACTAAATTGCTGAGGCTGGTTTTGAACTTGTGATCCTCCTGCCTCAGCTTCCTGAGCTGCTAGGATTACAGGTGTATGCTACTGCAATGACTTTGTGTTTTAAATGGTCCGTTCAAAAGATCCAAACCTCAAAGGAATAAAAGGTATAAAAAGATAATATGTAAAAAATCTCCCTCTCCTTTTATTGCAGTCTCAGAGAAGATACTATCCCATGGTTGAGCATCCAGTGTTGGAGGTAAAAAGTTTGGGGCCATTTTGATACCTATCCTTTGCAACAGGCCTACTTTACTTTTCTCTTTGAAAGATTTTAGGATCTTCTTTTTCTTTATTTTTCTGAAATTGTATACTACTTCATCTTCAATGGGTCTATTTCATTCTACAGTGGTGATTATTTAATGGACCCTTTCAACCTGGCAACCCAGATTTTTAGTTCTGAGATGTTTTCTTGAGCAATCTCATTGATGATATTTATCCCTGTTTTTTCTCTTATCTCTTTCTTGCACTGTTTCTTATTATTTGAATTGGTCCTTAAATTTTTGTCTCTTCTGTCCTACTTTTCCGCCTGTCGTTTTACTCTGAGATATTTCTCCTATCTTCATCTTTAATGCTCCTATTAACATTTTTCATTTCTATTTTCATGTTTTCAATATATTCTTTGCAGTACTGGTAATTGAATCCAGGAGCACTCTACCACTGAGCTATAACCCCAGAGCTTGTTATCTTCTATTTTGAGACAGTGTCTAAATTTCCCAGTCATGCCTTTTTGAGTTCCTCCTATCTCAGCCTCTCAAGTAGCTGAGATTATAAGTATGCACCACCATGCCCAGCTCTAGAAGTTTATAGTTTTTGTTTAATTTCTAAGAATTTTCTTTTTTTATAGCATCTGATTCTTGCCTCATGGATGTAATATATTCTCTGAGGACATTAATATTACTTGTTTGTTAAATTTCTTTTTCCTACAGTTTTGGTTTCTTCCAAGTTGATTTTTCCTCTCTCCAATTTAAAGACTTTCCTCAACTATCTGGTAATTCTCAGTTGTCTACTTCTAAGAATAATGAACTATTAGTATAATACATTATATACTCCAACATACCCACCACCTCGATTTTTTTTTCCCCTGTTCTGGGGATCAAACCCAGGGCCTTGCAAGTGCCCTACCACTAAGCAAGTGTCCTACCACTAAGCTACAACCTGAGCCGCCACCACCACTGCCATCACCACCTAGATTCTGAGCTTGAGAATGGAAATTGACAACTATGGCCCACTTAAGGAGAAATCTGGCTGGGTCACATGTTCATGTAACCCCAACATTAATATCTTAGGTATTTCCTCTTGGCTTGGTCAGGTGACCCGAAGAAAAATTTTGCAAATCTCAACATGGAATATAGGAATCTCGGTACCAAAATTTGGGGAAGCCAGCAGAAAAAAGAAGCTAGAAGAAATGGTTCTTCAATATTCAAAATAGGAATATGCTACCTTCCTATTTTTGCCAGTTAAAAGACCCTCTATTTTACCATTACCAGAGCTTAAGCCTCTGGACTTTCTCTAGGAAGTGGGTGCATTCCCAGAGTGGAATGCTCTTAGGAAATCTAACTGCTGTGAAAATCTAACTGTGTATCAAGTAGCCTTCATCTAGTCCTCATTTTATCTCCTATAATTACTCCCTTTCCAAATTCAAAGGTATCTGGTGCTTTCAGACCATGAGGCTTCTGACTATCTAAGAAGTTATGTGTCAGCTTTCTTCACTCCCAGAATTAGGATTCTGATGTGTGAAGTATGCTAAATCACTTATTCCTTATCCATTTGCTTTCCAGTTTCCAAATTTTTTTCTCTTGTCACATCTTCTATTCTCTCAATTATTACAGGAATATCTTTTTTAATATCCCACTCTATCCTCAATACTTTATTCTTTTAAAACCCAAAACATAAAGTTTGAAATATTATATGATAAACACCAATGTATCCAAAACCTAAACTCTGTAGTTCTTAACATTTTGATATTTTGTTTTATCAAACCACTTATTCATCTATCCATGCATCCTTTTCATCTATCCATCAAATTTCTTTACACATTTCAATACAAGAAACAAACATTAGTACATTTCACTCCTAAATAATTGACCATGTATATCATTAAATAGAATGTAATATAGTTTTGCTTTTTCTGTGGTTGAAATTTGCATAAATAGTGAAATGTACAATTCTTTTTATTAGTTTCTTAATTATTTGTATTTATTTTTTATTAATTAATTTATTTATTTTAATTAGGTGTATATGATAGCAGAATGCATTTTGATTCCTTATACGCAATTGTAGCATGGTATTGGAAATGCACAATTCATTAGTACACCATGCAGAAATTTTGCAAATATATAGAACAGTTCCTTCAACACAAAGAGTTCCCTCATATCTTTTTCCAGTCAACCCTCACTATCAACTCACCCCAGAGGCAACCATTGCTCATATTTTTTCTTATCTTTTAAGTTCTTTTGTTGGCGGGGAGGGTAAAGGGGTATTGAAACCAGGGGTGTTTTACTAGTGAGCTTTCTTCATTATTATTACCAGTCCCCTCCCCTTTTTGTTTTATTATTCTTTTTTTGAGACAAGGTTTCACTAAGTTGCTCAGGGCCTAAATTGCCTAAGGCTAGTCTCAAACTTGCAAACCTCTTGCCTCAGCCTTCCTAAGTTGCTGGGTTTACAGGCATACACCACAGTATCTGGCTAACATTCCTTTCATAAACAGTATGTCCTCATGTGTATAAAGTTCTTTAACACAGTATAATGTTTTGGGGGATTAATTCATGTTATTGCACATATTAGTAGTTCATTACTTTTATCACAGAGTAATATTTCATTGTATAAATATAATGTAAGTTGTCTCTCTATTTTCTAGTCAGTGGACATTGTTGGGGCTGTTTTCCAATTTTTGACTACTACAAAATATAAATCTTTTATGAACAAATACTTTTTTCACTGGGAAATACTAAAGAGTGAAATTTCTGGGTCATAGGATAAATGCATGATTTTTTTTAATTGCCAGGCTCTTTTTCAAAATGGTTGCACCATTCTACACTCCCCTAAGAAAGCACAAGAGCTCCACATCTTCATCAACATGTGCTATTCACAGTCTTTTCAATTACAGCCATTTGATGGGTATATAGTAATAACCACTGTGGTTTTAATTTGCTGTTCCCTGATTCAGATAAAGTATTTTTCATGTGATAAATGACTACTCTGTCATCTTCCTCTATAAAGTATCTGTTGAAATTGTTTGACTTAAGGCAAGTAATTTCCCATCTGCCCTGGACTTCAATTTCCTGACTCTTAAATGAAAATCATTAATTTTTTGTTCTTTTTGGTGATATTGGGGACTGAACACAGAGTCTGATACATGCTAGGCAAGTAACTCTCCCATTCAGCTACATCCCCATCCTTTTCTTTTTACTTTGAGTCAGGGTCTCATTAAGTTGCCCAGGCTGGCCTTGAACTTGCAATCCTCCTGCCTTAACCTCCAGAGTAGCTTGTATTACAGAGGTACATGGCACACCAGCTCGAAAGTCATTAACTGTTTTTCTTTTTCTTTTTTTTTTTTTTTTTTTTTTTTTGTGATGCTGATGATTGACCCCAGGGCCTTGTACATGCCAGGAAAGTGCTCTACCACTGAGCTACATCAGCAGGCCTAAATTTTACATCTATTATTTTCTAATTCTTATATTCCAAAATTTAAGTAGTGACATAGCTACTAAATACCAGAGGTAATTGTCAGAACTCAGACACAATATCCCAAAGAATGGCACCTTAGTATTCTGAGTATTTGTGAGCTAAGGGAAACAAGAGGGTCTAGGAGGCAGAGAGGTCTCTCCAGCCTTCTCCTGCCTTCATGTCTTCCACTCCTTTACTCCATCCCCCAAAGCAAGGCATAAAACCTAGAAATGTCTCTCTGAGTTGCCTCCCCTGAAAGTAGGTCATAAGACCCTCTGTGACAGGTATCCTGCCCTATGCCCAGAGGAAAGGAATGCTATTACAAGTCTTGCTGTGCTCACCCCTCAGTTTATAACCATTAGATCACACCCTTTTTGTCTAACTATGTTTCTCCACAGCTATCTATTTATTTCATCAGACTTAGAATAAAAGTAGTTTTCCCTGGTCTTTGTATCTTCATTTCTGAAGGTTCCTATGACACATAAAGTTTTGTTAAATAAATTTTTCTCATGTTAATCTGCATTTTGTTTTAAGGATGTCAACCATAAAACTTGCAATGGGTGAGAAAAAGATTATTTTCCTCCCCTACATAATTAAAAATACTTCTGACAAATGTGAATAATGAAATGCAACTGGTTACTACACTAAATATACACTAACCACTACGATAATTATAATTTAACATATATTTAGCCCTATGCAGTTAACAAAGCAGCTTATTTTCTCATTTCATTCTTAAAACAAGCTATATTCAAGAGGCTATGGTTGTGGTTCAGTGGTAGAACACTTGCCTAGTGTATTCAAGGTACTGGGTTCAATCCTCGGCACCACATTAAAATGAATAAATAAAATAAAGGAATAAAAAATGTTGTATCTGTTAAAAAAAAAAAAAAGCTACATTCAAATATCAGTAAAAAAGTAGTAGAACAACCAAGTCTTCCAAATTCACATTCCATTTTTACTTAAAGCTTCTGTGTACAAGAATGATTTTGATAATATTATTATGTGGGGGCTTTTTGTTTTGTTTTGTTTAATTTGGGGGTTTGGTTTGGTTTTTTAAGACAGCATCTTGCTAGATTGCTTAGTTGTTCTTTAAGCCTCCTGCCTCTGCCTCCCAAGTAGCTGGGATTACAGGCATGCACCACCAAACCAGCTAGCAACATTATTCTTAATAGCCAAAAAACTGGATGCTACCCAAAATGCCCATCAACAGTGAATAGATAAGTTTAAGTATGATACTCAGTATAACATTAAACATCAAAACCAAGTTCATGCAACAATATGGATGAATCTGCCAAACACAATGTTGAAGGACAGAAGTAAGATACAAAAGAATTATACTACAAGATTTCATTCTCAAAAAGTACAAAAAGAAGAAGCAAAATTAATCCATGCTATTTAAAACTAAGGATAGTAGTTATCCTGATAAAAGCATTTTTGGTAATTTTCTATTTCATGATCTTGATGTTTGTTATGAGTTATAGAGTTATCTAGGTGAATCTATATGTGTGTGTGTGTGTGTAATTTTTTTAATAAAAAGGTTTTTAGTTAGGTTCAAGTACAATATAACAGATAACTTTTCTTCTTTTCCAGGTATCACACTCTAGATTAGAACTAGATAATCAACCAAATTGATTAGTGTTTCTTTTTTTTTTTTTTTTTAACCTCCATAGTGCAGGAGATTAAACCCTGGGATGCTCTCCCACTGGGCTATATTCCCAACCCTTTTTATTTTTATTTTGAGACAGGTCTCCTGAGCTGCTGGGATGTATGCATGCACCACAACACCAAATTTAATATTCATTTTTTTTATTTTTTAGTTTTCGGCAGACACAAGATCTTTGTTTTTCTTTGTATGTAGTGCTAAGGATCGAACCCGGGCCACACGCATGCCAGGCGAGCGCGCTACAGCTTGAGCCATATCCCCAGCCCCTAACAACACCAAATTTAATGATTAGTGTTTCTTAAACATACAGATTGCAGTATTTTTTTGAATATATAAATTCAAACTAGAAATTGATTCAGTTTATAAGTGATGAGGTGGATTAGAATATATGCATACTCAAGGTGAGAATTAAGTTTTAAATAAACCTATAATATTTAAAAAAAAAAAAAAAAAGAATATATACTTAAAACAAAATGAAAAATTCCCCTGTGATTCTGACTACAAAATTCCCCTGTGATTCTAACTACTCACAAGCAAGTTGCTCTAAAAGTGATTAACAGAATTTTGAACCTATTTTTCCATATAATGTAACAACAACAAAAAAATTTACCTAGGACTGGAGGTGTTACTTAATGGTACAATACTTGCCTAGTATGTGCAAGGCTCAAAACTCAATCCCCAACACCACAAAAAAATTAGCTTGGGCTGGGGTTTTGGCTCAGTGATAGAGCACTTGATGAGCATGATTGCAGCCCTAGGTTCAATCCTCAACACTACATAAAAATAAATTAATTAAATAAAGTTATTGTTCCTATCTATAATTTTAAAAAAATATTTTTAAAAAATTAATATAATGTAGATGAATATTCACATAACTTCCAGAAGATTTTACATACACTCAATGAAGTCCTTCCACCAAAGACCAATCGGTAAATCAAATCCTACCTCTGATCCCATGAGGATATTCAAGTAAGTAATGATATAGAATGAAGTTACAATCCTAAACACAGGAAGAAATAGAAAGTCTTACCACAGAGTTTTTCTTGGATCCTATGTGCCTCAGCTAATCTTTCCTCAGCAGCCCGTCTTCCAAGACCAGCTTCCTGTCTAGCGACAGCGAGGTCATATTCCAAACTTTGTCTCAATGCTTCTCCTTTTTCAACCTCGGACCGGAGCTTGGCAATCTGGCTCTCACAGCTTAACAGCTAAAAACAGATTTCTGAGTTCATGCACCAATATTAAAACATGTCTGCAAAATTATGAACCTGAACTCAAACATTTAAAATTCTTAGAGAGGGCTGGGGATGTGGCTCAAGTGGTAGCGTGCTCGCCTGGCATGCGTGCAGCCTGGGTTAGATCCTCAGCACCACATACAAACAAAGATGTAGTGTCCGCCGAAAACTAAAAAATAAATATTAAAATTCTCTCTCTCTCTCTCTCTCTCTCTCTCTCTCTCTCTCTCTCTCTCTCAACAAATAAAAAAATAAAAATAAAATAAAATTCTTAGAGAAACTTGGTTCCAAGATATTGGTCTGATAAGAATTAATAAGGGCCAGAATTGTGACTCAGCGGTAGAGCACTTGCCTAGCATGGGCGGGACCCGGGTTCGATCCTCAGCACCACATAAAATAAAAAGGCATATGTTGTGTCCATCTACACCTAAAAAATTAAAAAAAAAAAAATTAAAAAAAAAAGAATTAATAAATCTGTTTCTGGAAACAGAAGAAAAGAAACACTACCTTACTAAATGATATTCATGAAGTTTCTTATTTTAAAGAATCCACTAAAGAAATAACACATTTTAATCAGAAATAGTTATACTTAAAAAAAAAAATTTTTAAATGCATGACACACAGTAAACAGTTAAAAACATATTTTCTCCTCTACTCTTTCTATTCCCTAAATGTAATCCAGAAGCACACTGCATCATATTAAGTTTAGTAAATACTGTCTATTTTATTTCTCGTGACTATGACATCATTGATAGAACATAAAGTAATAAAAGTACCAATTTTACAAAAATGTTATCAAACTGATATTTAATTTGTTATCTTCCAGGATGTACTATGACAGACACAGGTCAGGGTTAGAACTAGATAATCTATAAGGCCGTTTCTCACTCTAAAACTATATGAGCTAATCAATGATTCATTAATAATATTAAACACTTGGTATGTGGCAAGTATAGTGAAAGATACAAAAACAAATGTTACAATGCCTTGACTCAAGGGAATAAATGTTGTAGAAAGGTATATGTTAGAAGAAAAGCAAAATTATTTACTGCTGGTAGGACAGAGATGGTGGAAGATAAAAAAAAAAAAAACTACAGAAAGGCACCTTATAAGAACATCAGGTTAAAAATAAATGGTCTAGGGGCTAGGGTTGTGGCTCAGTGGTAAAGTGCTCGCCTAGCATGCATGAGGCACTGGGTTATATCCTCAGCACCACATAAAAAATAAATAAATAAAGACATTGTGTCCACACAAAACTGAAAAATAAATATTCTTTTTAAATAAATAAATAAATTGTCTAATTACCAAACAAAGACAAAAGGATTTCTGAAGGACAGGATCAGAAATTAGTACTATTAAAACAAATTTAAAAATAAAAAAAAAACCAAGAAACTACCACTAATACACGTTCATATGCAGAGTGTGACTAAAGCTATATTTTTTCTCATATAAAGAACCAATTAAATAAGAATTTTAAAAAATCCATTCATAGTTAAAAAAAAAATCATAGAACCACATTAATTATAAAAGTTCAAGGTAACTCCAACATTTGTTTCAGATTCATTCCATCCCTCCCTGTTGATTTCTTCTCCTAATAAAGGTATTAACAACTGGGCATTCTTGGTGGCCATTTACATGTTCGCACTCAGATTCCTACCCATCTTCTCCAGCTTTGTCCTCTGTCATAGGAACTACATTTCCCAAGATTCTTTGATAACCAGCTTCCCAACATGTTTAGCCAATGAGAGACCCTTGAGTACCAAGATACTTCTTCCTGTCTAGATCTACCTCAATCATTGTGTCTTCTAAGAGTTCAAATCCTTCTGAATAGTACCCCCCACCCCTTCCCTGCTCTCTTCTAAGAGTTCTGGCTTCTATGAGCTTTCAGAGCGGAAGTTGATACCATCCAGGCTACCATAACACTGTTATTTGTCTCTTCGGATCTCCTAGTACCTGCATAAGCAACACCCTCTACGTAAGTCCCTTTGATGAAAGACTTAGCATGGTTTCTATTCTTATGGTTGAACACCCAATAATCTTGTTCTTGGTAGCTAAATGGTCTCAAGATGGTTTCTGACACTGAGCAATTAACCTCTTTGCGCCTTAACAAGGGAAAACCTCCTTGCAGGTAGATGTGGGATCCACAGAATACAGTGTGATTACAATTAGTTAAATGATAATGTGTAGCTATTTAGGATGAACTGCAAGTTGAAGACAAGACTTTGGGAAATGAAGTAGTGACAACACTTAACCTTTATTGGTAGGAATCTGAGAGCGAACACGTAAATGGCCACCAACCTTTATTGTTTACCCCAAGACCTAAAAGGTAGGGAGGCTAAATCTCAATATACTAGAGAATTTACAAAAACAAAATGATAATCTCAGGGCTTCAGAAACTCAGCTTTAAAGAGTCAGAAAACCAGAGAATTGTTGCAATAACTTTAAAAGAATCTCTTATTTCTTATAGCCCCAGCGCAGACAAGGCTAAAGACCAGACTAAAAATCTAACCACGGAGAATGCAGAATCATAAGTTTACTGGAGAATCTTAACAAGTTTCTATTGTTAAGATAGTTTTGGCTGAGGGCTGAGGCTGTGGCTTAGTGGTAGAACACCTGCCTAGCATGTGTGAGGCACTGGGTTTGATTCTCAGCAGCACATATAAATAAATGAATGAAATAAAAGTCCATACATCTAAAAGAATATTTAAAAAAAAAAAAAGATAGTACTGGCTGGACACTAAATAGGAAGGAAGGACATGGATTGAGAGAGCTTTTGGAATTAGACAAGCCTAAAACCTGTTAACCCCACATATTTCCAGAATATCCCTTACAACAAAAATAGCCTCTCTTCTTTGACTGAGGTAACCAGCCTTCTGTTGCTTAAAGATTTGGTAGTGACCACACCAGAAGCAGCTGCCTGTGAGAAGACTTACAAGATCCACCTCCACTATTATTTATCACCACAGATTGACTCATATCTCAGTAAACTGCAAGAGGAGACATACAGAGCCTACTCTAAGACAAAATAGCTTGTAGAGTAGAAAAATTACAATCTGGCTAATTTTTTATTAGTAAGAATATAGAGAACATTTATATGATTGCTGTAGATTTAATAAGCTATCCCTGAATAGTATGCTTGGATGAGTCACTAAAAACTGAATTCAAAAACAATTAAACAAACTGAATTCAATGTTGACCTACAATCTTGGGTAGGGGTGCCTACACTGAACCCAAGGACACTTTTAACACTAAGCTAATTCCCCAGGCCATTTGTTAGTTTTGTTATGTTTATTGGTATGGAAACCAGGGGTACTTAACCACTGAGCCACATCTGCAGGCCTTTTTATTTTGGGACAGGGTCTCACTATGTTGCTTAGGGCCTTGCTAAATTGCTCAGGCTGGGCTCGAACTTGAGATCATCCTGCCTCAGCCTCCTGAGTGGCTGGGATTACAGGCATGCTCTACCACATCCAGCACTCATTTTATTTTTTATTTTGAGACAGGATCTCACAGAATTGCCAAAGCCAGCCTCAAACTTGCATTCCTACTACCTCAGCCTCCAGAGTGGCTAAGATTATAGTCATGCACCACCATGAAGACTACAATCATTTAATGAAGTCAAAATGCCAGTACAACCCTTATAACATCCCTGATACACAGAATAAATAACTAGCCCAAGCTCATATGTCTTGCAAATGAACAGGCCAGGAATGAATAATTGATATTGATATTGTCTCATCTTTTGTGTAATTTGATATTCTTCCTACTGCATTAGGCTTTTGATGCTGAGCTTCAAAAATGAATAAGATTTGAGATTGGTGATACAGCTGAGTGATACAACACTTGCCAAGCATGTACTGTATTTTACCCCCAGCACCTCAACAACAACAAAAAATGAATAAAATATACAGACCTAACACAGAAGCAACATAAACATATAAATCATGAATTATCTTAGAAGGGTAAGAAAACCACTGTCCTAGAAATGTAAATGTATATACACATAAAACTTAAAATACAAATGCACAACTTAAAATACAAAAACACTAAGATACAATTACATAATAAAACGGAAATTCATAACATGAATTTCACTATGATTAAACATTCTATACTGGAATCCAATTTAAGAGATAGTTCCATGATTAAAGCCATAAAGTAATCTACATTTTGATTTCAAAAATGTCTAATTTATAAATCCTTTAGTTATCACATTCAAATTTTTAATTTTTTTTTTAGTTGTAGATGGACACAATGCCTTTATTTTATTTATTTATTTTTATATGGTGCTGAGGACCCAACCCAGTGTCTCACACATGCTAGGTAAGCACTCTACTGAGCCACAACCCCAGCTATTACATTCAATTTTTTTTTTTTAATTTTTTTAATATTTTTAATTTTTTTAGTTTTCGGCAGACACAACATCTTTGTATGTGGTGCTGAGGATTGAACCCTGGCCGCACGCATGCCAGGCGAGCGTGCTACCGCTTGAGCCACATCCCCAGTCCCTACATTCAAATTTTTGATCAAGTCAAACCATTAATAAAAACAAATTTAAGACAACAAACATAATTCATTAAATTTTATTATTACTATGTAATTCAACTGTATAAAAATTATGTTTTCTTTATTATAATTTCCATTTACACATAAAAATGATACAATGATGAATATTGAGCATGGAGTTTGTAATATAAATCTAAAATATCAAACTCAACTTTTTTTTTAATATTTGTTTTTTTAGTTGTAGTTGGACACAATACCTTTATTTCATTCATTTATTTTTATGTGGTACTGAGGATCAAACCCAGGGCCCCGTGACTGCTAGGCGAGCATTCTACCGCTGAGCCACAATCCCAACCCCTCAAACTCAACTTTTAACATCACTTGAGAGGAAAATAAATTCTACCTCTGCATTGTGCTTAGTTGTCATTTCTAATTTTTCTTTCTTAGCTCGATGGAGTTTCTTTCTGAGATCAGCAGTAACATCCAAATCTGCTTCATTTTTAAGCATCTGTTTTACTTCTGGTGAGGCATTCTTCAACCTACAAAATAAGAACATAATAAAATATATTTCACAGGATTTCTGACATTTCTGATAACTTATTTTAAAACAAAAAATACATGATTAGGTTGTTGACTTAAAGAAATTTACAATCTAGTAAAAGATGTCCACTACAAAAGTTGGATAGAAATGCAAAGCAGTATATCACTTGTAGCAAACCATTGGCCTCTGGACATACACTACATTGTTCAAGACTGGTATTTAATTGGGCATGGTAGAACATGCCTGTAATCCCAGCTACTCAAGAAGCTGAGGCAGGAAGATGGTAAATCTGAAGGCTGCCTAGACAACTTAGGGAGACCCTCTCAAAATGAAAATAAGAAAATGGGCTAGGGATGTACCTCGATGGTAAAGTGCTTGCCTAGCATGTACAAGGCTCTCGTTTCAATTCCCAGTACAGGAAAAAAGAAATGATCATATCACATCTAGTCATATCACAAGCTAGGTAGTTGTAAAAAACGGAGTTCTTTCTTTATCTTTTTCCTTTTTTGGTACTAGATATTAAACCCAGGGGCTATGAGCCACAACCCTAGTCCTTTTTATTTTTTGTTTTGAGCCAGGGTCTCATTAAATTACCTAGGGCCTCACAATACTGTTGAGGCTGACTTTGAACTTGTGAACCTCCTTCCTCAGCCTGGAATTACAGGCATGTGTCACCACAGTGCCCATTTCTTTTATCTTTTTAAATGATTCATTTTATTTACTACAAGTGTAATATATATTACCAAAAGAAAAGGCATAAATAAGAGAATATAGACTTAGTCTACTTTAAAATGGCAGACTAAAACACTTTACTCTCTTCCTACTGAAAGAAAAATAAATAAAGTAATAGCAAACAGAATTTAAAGGTAGAAACCCACAGGAGAAAGAGCACAGAAGATGAGACAATATCAATGAAGTACTGGAAACTATAAAGTTGATATGTAACTGATTTACTTAAGAAAGTTAAATTCAAAGCAAGCAGTGGAAAAAGTAATGTGTTTGCATCAGAGCCCCAACAAGCTAAGTCACTTTAACACTTTGAAAAATGGGGGTGAAGTAGAGCAGAAAACAAGAAACTTATTTGAAAGTTTTACAACAAAATAAAACAATTAGGTCCTTGGATCTTCTACTCCACACACGTACAACGGGGTACTTATCTCTTCCCCAGTCTGGCAGAACACTAGGTTTCATTCCCTGGAGAGGGGGAAAAAAAAAAAAAAAGGATCCTTGACCAAGAAGTGGGAGGCAGGGAGGGTAGGGGGAAATGATGGGGACTGATATTGGCCAAATTGTATAGTTACATTGTGTGCATGTACGAATATGTAACAACAAATCCCATCAATATGTACAACTATATTGCACCAATTTTTTAAAAGTAGAAAAAAAAGAGTGTTCTTGGATTATAAAACATTATATATAATGGGGTAATGGTTCCCTACTAAAAATATGAGGCTTCCCATGGAAGGAATAGACGAACTCTAGATCAGGCAGAGGGGTTGTTGGGGAAGGAAGGGAGCATGGGGTTATTAATGATGGTGGAATGTGATGATTATTATTATCCAAAGTACAGGTATGAAGACACGAATTGGTGTGAATATACTGTGTATACAACCAGAAATATGAAAAATTGTGCTCTATATATGTAATAAGAATTGTTATGCATTCCACTGTCATATATAAATTTAAAAAAATAACAGGCTTTAGTAAATTACAGATGCCTCTCAACTTACATTAGGATAACATCCCAATAAAACCACTGAAATTGAAAATTCTTAAGTTGAAATGTATTTAATACGTCTAATCTACCATACATCACAGTTTAACAACACAGTACACTAAATCAGTTATTTACCCTCATGATTACATGGCTGGCTGAGAGCTGCAGGCCGCCCCCATTGCTTGGAATTACAAGAGAATATTGTACCACATATGCTAGCATAGGAAGAGATCAGAATTCAAAATATGATTTCTGCTGAATGTATATAATTTCTATACCACTGTAAATCATAAGTTAAAGTATCCTAAGTCCGGGACCATCTTATAATGAATAAGATTTAATATTATTTGTCTGCCAGAATAATGATAGCCAAGCAGAGTTTGGAAGTATCTTCCCTGGATAATCTAGCCCTAAAGATGCTGATGCCAACCAGCAAAACAACTTAACCAGATCACCCTATAATGAATGCCACAATCACAAAGCCTCACACACTAAGCTTCCAGTCATCTTTTAGAGTAAGTCCCTACTTTTAAATATGAATAGTCAGTCAAGGATAACCAAAAGTTTCATCAAATCTGAAAGAGATCAAAAATAAGGTGAGCGGAAAGGAGCCCTCAAAAACCATGTATAGGGCTGTGGCTGTAGCTCAGTGGTGAGCACTCGCCTAGCAGGTGTGAAGCACTGGGTTCAATACTCAGCACCACATAAAAATAAATAAATGAAATAAAGGTACCTTGTCCATCTATAACTAAAAATATTTATTTAAAAAAAAACTATGTAGAAAGAAGACAACTTTAAAGAGGGAAAAAAATGAAAAGTAATGTCCTTATAAAAACAGGAAAAGATTATAACAACCATAAAATCACATCCATAGCTACAATAAGAAAGGAAATATTCTGATGAAAAAATATAGCTCTTGGGAAATAAAAACAAACAGAAATGGAAAACTAAATAAATAAATGTAAAAGAAAAGTCTTTAAAACAATAAAGGGAGATGAAAATATTTAAAAATTAAAAATTAGAAGACTAACAGGTTCAAAACCTAAATAAAGAGTTACAGGGCCAAGATTGTGGCTCAGTGGTAGAGCACTTGCCTAGCACATGCGAGGCCCTGGGTTCAATCCTCGGCACCACATAAAAATAAATAAATAAAATAAATATATTGTGTCTAACTACAACTAAAAAAAATTAATATTTTTTAAAAAAAGAGTTACAGAATGAGAAAATATAAATTTGTAACAAAAACACTTATTATTTTACAAATACTGTGCTAAACATTTTACACATACAACTTACTTAATCTTCATAACAAACACATTAGATAGGTACCATTACAACCCTTACTGTACAGATAAGGAAACTGAGTCACGGAGAGGTTGTCCAAATTCACAAGGCTATCAAGGAACAGGGGTGGAATTCATACTCTGGCAGCTTGGCTCCATGATACATAAACTCTATTTTTCGGTGGGGGAGGGGTGCAATACTGGGGATTGAACTCAGGGGCACATCCCCAGCCCTATTTTGTATTTTATTTAGAGACAGGGTCTCACTGAGTTGCTTAGCACCTTGCCATTGCTGAGGGCTGGCTTTGACCTCAAGATCTTCCTTCCTCAGCCTCCCAAGCTGCTAGGATTACAGGCATGTGCCACTACACCCAGCTATATATATCCTCTTTACAGCCACTATTACTCTCTGGATAGCAGGAAATTATTAAATAGTAGAATTTTTTTTAAAATCTAAATTCTGAAGGATATGAGTTTCAACCCATGAAGTATGAATGCATGCAAATTTCAGAAAACAAGGGACCAAAAAAGAGCTCCTCCAAATACAAGAGAGAAATAAATGGGTTTTACATAAAGGTTTAAAAAATTCTTTCTTGGGCTGGGGATGTGGCTCAAGCGGTAGCACACTCGCCCGGCCCGGGTTCAATTCTCAGCACCACATACAAACAAAGATGTTGTGTCTGCCGAAAACTAAAAAATAAATATTAAAAAAATTCTCTCTCTCTCACTCTCTCAAAAAAAAAAATAAATAAATAAATAATTCTTTCTCAACAGAAACACCAGAAATTAGAAGAAAATGTTTCAATGCCTGTCAAAATTCCAAGGGAAAATAATTTCCAACTTAGAATTTTTTGCCCAAAAAGTTATCATGCAAAGACAAGGCCACAAGAAAGACTATCTTTCAGATCCTCAAGGCTTCAAAGCATTTGCCTCCCATGAACTGAGATTTCACAGAAGGCTAATGAAGGATTTGTTTGGACCTAAACTGAGAAAGCCATGGAGATAATACAAGCATTCAACAAAGGAAAAAAGCAAAGGGATTTCCAGGATAGGGAAGAAAGGATATGCTGAAATGACACCCAAAATAAAATACAAAAAAAGGCTGAAGATGTGGCTCAGTTGTTAAGTTCCTCTGGATTCAATCCCAGAAAAGAAAGGAAGAAAGGAAGGAAGGAAGGAAAGAAAGAAAAGAAAAAGTCAAGCCACAAAATGGGAGAAGAAATTTGCAAATCACATATTTGTATCAAGACTATATAAAGAGGGCTGGGGATGTGGCTCAAGCGGTAGCGCGCTCGCCTGGCATACGTGCGGCCCGGGTTCGATCCTCAGCACCACATACAAACAAAGATGTTGTGTCCACCGAAAACTAGAAAATAAATATTAAAAAATTTTCTCTCTCTCTCTCTCTCTCTCTCCCTCTCTCCCTCTCTCTTTAAAAAAAAAAAAAAAAAGACTATATAAAGAATTAAGTTTCAGGGCTCAGGGGAAGAGTGCTCGCTTGGCACATCTGGGGTCCTGGGTTTGAGTCTCAGCACCACATAAAAATAAATAAAGGTATTATGTCCATCTAAAACCAAAAAATAAATATTAAAAAATCCAAAGATATTACTGAAATGTCCCACTGCTATATCAATTAAAAATAAAATATATATTTTTAAAAAATTAAGTTTCAGGTGTGGTGTCTCATACCTGTATAATCCCAGCAACTGAGGAGGCTGAGGCAGAAAGATCACAAGTTCAAAGCCAGCCTCAGCAACTTGGTGGGGCCCTATACAACTTAGCAAGACCCTATCTCAAAATAAAAAACAAAAAGGGCTGGGGATGTGACTCAGTGGTTAAGCACCTGTGGGTTCAATTCCCATTACCCCCAAAAATCTTAAAACTTAATAAGAAAATGACCCAATTTAAAAACGGGCAAAAGATCTGAAAGGACATTTCACCAATGAAGATATATGAATGGTCAAAGGGCACATTCAAAGATGTTTAGCATCATTAGTCATTAAAAAAATTCAAATTACGACCATAATAACATACCACTTTACAGCTATAGAAGATATCTATAATTAGATAATAACAAGTGTTGGTAAAGATGTAGAGAAACTTAAACTCTCAGATATTACTAGTGGGAATATATAATGGCCCAGTCACCTTAGAATATAATTTAGCAGTTTCTTAAAATTTTCAGCATAAATTTACTGTATGATAGAGCAATGCTGCTCCTAAGAAATTACCCCAAAAGAGAAGCAAAAATATTTGCCAACACAGAAGATTTATTTGCAAATATTTATAGCCACATTATTCATAGTAGCCAAAAAGTGGAAACAACTCAAATGCCCAACAACTGGTAAATAGGTAACCAAAATGTAGTCTATCCATAAAATGGATTATTGTTCACCAATAAAACAAAACAAAGTAGTAATATATGCTACCACACAACAGACCTCAAGAATGTACCCCAAAAACTACATACTGCATGAGTCCACTGATATGAGTTGTTCAGAAAGTTAAATCTACATATATATATATAAAGTAGATCTGTGGTAAATAGAGTTCAAATAACTTCATTTGGACTCTAAAATTAAGAAGAATAATTTAGCCATTAAAAAATACAACAGATGTCTATTGATGGTTCCTCTCCAAATTGAAAAGAATGATACTAATAATATGAAATACTATAATTTTAATCCAAAATATAGGTTTATATAACACTGATATTTTCATTTTAAAAATCTGGACAAATATTTACCAAAATGTTAGAGTAGTTAACTCTAAGAGGTTAGATTACATGCATACATATATACATGTATACCTTCTTAAACTAAGTATGAGCAAGAAATACCCACTTTCTACCCCCACAATGCTTTTTTTAAATACACTTCAAATGCATTATTTTAAAAACAGAATACAACAGACAAATATAACCTCAAATGTTTTAGTTTTAGATTCACAAAATATTACTGATCTGTGACTATAAAAGTTCTGATCATTTACTTTTTATTGTAAACTACATCTGGTAGAGAGTTTTACTCTCTTAAATGGTCCAGTTTTGTATTATGCACTTCACCTACCAGAGATGAATGAACCAAATACAAGCCCCTTACCCAAAGGCAGAAAGAAATCCATGGTACAAAAAAGATGAAACATAGCAATTAGATGCTTCTTCCTCAAATGTAAACTGAGAGATATCAAGTAAAAGAGCAGTTAGCAACAGGAGCCTAAGCCATGAAGCAGAGCTGCAGCAATGAAGAAGAGTAATGAGACCCATAGATGTCACGGCAAAACAAAGCCATGATCAAATACAAATGTAAATAAGCAGAAATACAAGAAAAAGACTTAGAGTACTGGAAAAGAATAAAGACTAACAGGAAGTTTAGATACAAGAACTTTTATGGTCCAAGTTAACAAAGGAACACAACAGTCCCCATAGACTATCTAGCTCCAATACTATCCTTATGAGGCATCATCCCTGCTCCTCCAGTCCCAAGAAACTTCTACTTCCTTTATCATCCCATGAGCATTCTTACAATTAGCTCCACCAACCACTTAAATTCTCCCTGTTCCTTACACACAAAAGCATTTTTTAACTAAAGAAAGAGACTGGAGGCTTACCTTTGGGTCTCACCAGTGGCATTATTTGAAGTGTTTAAACTCATGGTAAGTCTTCCAACTCTTTCAAAATACCCCACTGTTTCTTAATGATATACCTCCTTATTGATGACTGAAATTGTCCAAGATGTCTGTGACTTACAGGTTAGATGGACCGAAGTCTGTTAATATAATAAACAATACAACAGCAGTTTTATATTGAATCCTGAGAGTATGGGTGACTTTTCTTTTGATCTATGGTATTTGTTCACTTTTAAATTACTGTATAACAAATATGGAATTCTAAGAAGTTGTAATGTTTTATTTCTTTTAAAAAGCACTAGAAGCAAAAATGACAAAATGTTTAAAAAATGTTCCTTCTTATGAGAACAAGGTAATGATTAGCTTTAATTTCTCAACTGAAAAATTATAGCAAGTGACAAATTACTCTTGAACTCAGAAAAGGAACACACAGAGCCTAACTCTAGGGCATAAAATTCAATTTGAAAGAAAGTAAAATTCAAGGGCATGTTTGGGTCCCCAAAGCCTTTCTCATAAATGAGACACTTTTAAAATTCAATGTTGCAACCAAAGAGGCCAAAGTACTCCCAAATAAAAATACCATGGTAATTTTCTTTTTTTTTTTTTTTAATTTCAGATGGTTTTCATTCAAAAGTTCTCAAGAGAAATCAAACAGAAAAGTTTTGACTCACTCAAGTTCACTCAAATTTACAATTCAAAAATGTCTTTTGAGCTGGGTATGGTGGCGTGCACTTATATAGTCCCAGCACTGAGGTATCTAAAGCAGTAGGATTACTTGAGACCTGAGTTCAAGGCCAGGCTAAGCAATATCATAACATCCATCTCAAAAAAAAATTATTAATTAATTTTTTTTTAATTTTAAGGTTTTTTTTCATAATACTTTATTCTATTTCTTTGTTTTTATGTGGTGGTGAGGATCGAACCCAGGGCCTCACACAGTGCTAGGCAAGTACTCTACCACTAAGCTACAGTCCCAGACCTAACTTTTAAAATTGTTTTTAATTTTAAATAAGTATCTTGGCCTTTAATAACTCCTGGAAAAGAAACCTAGAGTTATTTTCTTAAATATTTTTTTAGTTGTCAATGGACTTTATTTATTATATGTGGTGCTGAAAATCGAACCCAGTGCCTCACACATGCTAGGCAAACGCTCTACCACTGAGCCACAACCCCAGCCCAAGAAACCTAGAGTTATTTTTAACTAGTTACTACTAGCAAGGCTGCAACACTAGTAAAACAAAAATTTTAAATTAACTCTGTTTCAAGGTATGATGGCACACACCTGTCATTCCAGTGATTCAGGAAGTTAAGGCAGGAGGATTGCCAAATTTGAGGTCAGCCTCAGGAACTTAGAAAGACCCTGCCTCAAAACAAAAAACACAGGGCTGTAGCTCAGTAATAGAATACTCCCAGGTTCAATCCCTAGTACCACACACACAAAAATTAACTCTCTTACCAGGTACAGTGGTGCACACCCGTAATTCCAGTGACTCAGAAATCTGAGGCAGGAAAATCATGAGTTCAAAGCCAGCCTCAGAAAGCAACTTAATGAGGCCTTCAGCAACACAGTGAGACTCTGTCTCTAAATAAAATATAAAAAAGGGCTGGGGATGTGGCTCAGTAGTTAAATACCCCTGGGTTCAATCCCTGGTACAAAAAAAAAAAAAATTAACTCTCCTGATCATGTAGATAACTATGAAAAAGTTGTTTGTTTTTTTTACTAATCTATTCAAAAGATCTTCCTTCATAATTAATCTTTAAATAATTTAATTATTTTAATAATTAATCCACAGTAATTTTCAAAGGCCAAAGAGACCAAGGAGGAAAAAGGAAAAAGAATAATATTTATCATGCACTCTGGCCTACTTTCTGAAACTCTCTTCCATAGGAGCTACTTCAAATTATACAGAGTCAAGGACTAGGGTTGTAGTTCAATGGTAGAGCACTTGCCTAGCACATATGAGGCACTGAATTTGATCCTCAGCACCATAAATACATAAATAAATAAAGGTATTGTGTCCATATACAACTAAAAATATTTTTTAAAAAAATTATACAGTCAACCATATAAAACTACTTTATTACAGTGTTAAGCAATCTTAAACCAAAAGATAATAATAGTGCACTTGGTTCAAACATATACAAATATCAACATCCCACAAGTACCTTTTTGTATTCCCATAAATCCATATCCAAAGAAAAACCATGAGTTTTAAACTCAGAAAGATCAAACTAGGATTCCAATAAGTATCTTAAACTATGTGGTCTTGGGCAAGTCATTTAAATACTTTGAACCTGTTTCCTCTACAATAAAAAGGGGATAATTATATCAACCTCATATATTTAAGATTTAAATCATTTATACAGGACTGTGATTGTAGCTCAGTGATAGAGTGCTTGCCTAGCACATGCGAGGCACTGGGTTCGTATCTTTAGCACCACATAAAAATAAATAAAATAAAATAAAGGTATTGTGTCTACAACTCAAAATATATTGAAAAATAAATAGATAAATATATACAACAATTACATAGTACCACCCATTATCAGTTTTTATTACTGAATACAAACTCTGAAAAACAGAAGTATCCAATAAAGAAAGGTAGTAGATGATATTTGGGGTCATCTGGTCTGGGAAAAAAAAATGTAATAAGAGAATTATTTAGTGAAATTATGGGTGTGCAAATATATACAAAAGACTTAAAAGAGAGAAAAAGGTGGCAACCTGTTCTATCATTGCTCCAACTAAACATGCCTCAGAAGAGACCACTGAAAGAAAAGGGATTCAAGTAAGCAGTCTGTCTCAGCTATAGCGCTGAAAATTGATGACTCCTATAGACACAAAAAGCTCTTTAAAACAGTCAGAGGTTCATGTATCTCACAGTTCATGTAGAATAGATACTGATGTACAATAGTTTGGCCTAGGGCAAGTACAAAGGAATTTTGGACAAGACCAGGAATAAAAACCTATTTCTGGTCTGGGGACATAATTCAGTGGTAGAGCATTTGTCTAGCATGTATGAGGCCCCGGGTTGGGTTGCCTCCCTATATTGCAAAAAAATAAACAACAACCAAAAAAAGACACCATTTCTCCAGGACCAAATAACTTTGAGAATAGTGATATACAAACAAATAACAAATACAAACAAATATTATTAATCTACTGAGCACCTTACTACAGTATCAAGGCACTGTACTTGGTACTTTTATCTAGAACTTTGCTCCCTACAACACTACAATCTACATTGTACCATTTTTCAAGGAAAAAACTAAGGCTCAAAGATTAGAAATAGCTTGACAAATGTCACATACTTACAGGTTCAAAAATCCCAACTCACAACTGTCTGACTCTAAGGCCCAAATTCTTTCTGCAAGAAACTTTATGATTCACAAAGTTTACCTGTAAGTTATCACCTCAGGTTTATCATCCTTACTTCAATTAAGGAAACTTATCTGATCCAAAGAAGCTAAATGACTTGTGCAATACTAGTCAGCTATTAAGGGGTAGCACTGGGATACTGAATCCCAAAACCTTTTTGTCTTACCACCATGCTTCCAAAAGTCAGAACTCTGGGGAACTGAATACGGAATGGAAGAAGAGTTAGAACCTTTAAAGAAATGGACTTAACTGTACTGAAGAGAAATGTCCAAAGTTAAAAAGTATATATTTAAAATCTATTTTTGTAAAAAATTTTTTAAAAAACTTAAATACACATACACACACATAATGCACACATGTTTATGCATATGTGGCACAAGAAGGACCAACAAACCTCTATTTACCTTGCAGGAAAAGAACTTAAAATGGACTGAGGATGTAGCTCAGTGGTAGAGCGCTTGTCTAGCATCCCCAAGGTCCTGGATTTGATCCCTAGCACCACCAAAAAAAAAGAGAGAGAGAGAGAGAGAGAGAGAGAGAGAGAGAGAAAAGAATTGTATATAATTATAGCCTTAATGATGTCTTTTTAGTTAATCTTGGGAAGAGAAGTGCAGAAGTTTATCAAATTTTAATAAAGTTGTTCCAATAAAACTAAATTGAAAATACTCATCATTTTTAATGTATTGTTTGTTTTGGCATCTAATCATTTTCAAATCTGAATGGTCTTATCTACACAGATAGTGATATCTATAGCTCAGGATGGTATTCTTCAATTTCCAGATCATTTATACAGATAATATCATAAACAAATAGTCCCCACCATCTTCATCCCTGGTGTTACTCTAATATAAATCCTCCCATTTACTGTGATCAACTTGTGATTTAATTTTATGCCACCCCCATGATTACCATACATTATATAAGCCTCTTAAGGGCAGGGGTTATAGTTCAATGATAGAGTGGTTGCCTGGGACACGTAAGGCTCTGGGTTCAATCCCCAGAAGGGGGTGGAAATGAAGACCCTTAGCAGCTTGAATGACAATCTCTTGCTGTCCTCAAAGAGGCAAACTGTCATGCTATGAAATGGCTATACAGAGGGCCACACGGCAGAGGACTGCAAAAAGTCTCTTAGACCTAAGGGTGTCCTCCACCCAATAGCTAGTACATAGTCAGATCCCTCAGGTATATGGTAGCAAGGAAATAAAGTCAAAGACATGAAAGATCTGAGCAGATTCTATCCAGTCTGCCTCTAGTTGAGAACACGGCCCAGCCAGCATCTTGATTGCACCCTTGTGAGGACCTGAGCAGAAGACCAGTTAAGAGTAGGCCTTGACCCATAGAGACTGTGCAATAGCAAATGTGTGCTGTTTTAAACCACTGCATTTGTGTTAATCAAAGAAAACTATATACATGATTTGAAAATGCCCATGCAAAGTTAAAAGGAAAAAAAGTTGAATAAACAAAAATATAATAGGAAAATCAATTCTCAAATCAGCTCTGGCTATGTGGGTCTTTTATCAAGTCTATTTTTCTGTAGTGTAATTTCCTCATTAATATAAATGAGGGATTTTGTAAAAATCCTATCTAAAGCAATTAAGTAGAGAAACCAAGCAATTATGGTCAGCACTTACCAAAAAAAGTTAGAAAATAAAAATGAAGGACAAACCATCAAAAGCCACAATAGCTACAAGGGAGCGGTGATGGTATCCATAGAAAAGAAAGCTGAGGGAGCTGGAGTTGTGGCTCAGTGGTAGAGAAGTGCTCAGTGGTAGAGAAGTGCTCAGTGGTAGAGAACTCGCCTAGCACGTGCGAGGACATGGGTTTGATCCTCAGCATCACATAAAAATAAATAAATAAATAAAGGTATTGTGTCCAACTACAACTAAAAAAATAAATATTTTAAAAAAGAAAAGAAAAGAAAGCTGAGGAAAATAAGAAGGCACATCTGACAGGACCCCCAGGAGCCAATATATATTTAATGCAGGCCAATTTGAGAGCAACAGATGAAAATGAGAGGTCAGCCAATGTCAAGAGTAGGTACCTGCAATATATATGGTTAACACAGTCATGAAAGAGCTGGGACAGCCCAGCCCCAATGAACTCTCAAAACTGATTTGTCAAGTTCCCCTTCCTAGCCAGGGGCTCAAACTAAAGAAAAACTGCTGAGGATAGAATGAAAGTAGAACAGGACAGAGAAAAAAATCAAAGTAAGGAGATGGCCAAGACCAAACTGGAGGAGGAAACAGAAAATCTCAAAAAACAAGTCATCATAGTTTTTAACATACACACATATAAAAAAAAACTCACAATAGAGTTTTATGAAATAGAAAATCTTTTCTAACTTATAATCCCAGAGACTCAGGAGAGCAAGGCAGGAGGATCACAAGATTGAGGCCAGCCTCAACAATTTAATGAGACATGTCTGAAAACACAATTTTAAAAAAGGCTGTAGCTCAATGTTAGAGCGCTTGCCTAGCATGCGTGAGGCACTGGGTTCGATCCTCAGCACCACGTTAAAAAATAAGATAAAGGCATTCTGTCTATCTACAAATACCAAAAAAAAAAAAAAACTGTACTATAATTAAAAAAGAAAAAGAAAAAGAACTGAGGATGTAGCTCAGAGGTAGAATGCTCTTGGATTCAATCCGCAGTACTACAAAAAATAATTTTTTAAAAAAAGGGCTGGGGATGTAGCTCAGTGGTAGAGCACCACTACAGTGTTCAATACCCAGTTCCTAAAAAAAAAAAAAAAAAAAAAAAGGCCTTCATAAACCTGTGTCATTCTCAAAAGTTCAGGTAAATTAATCTCCCACAAAAATTAGTATAAGGAAAGAATTGTGGTCAAAATCCATACAAAGGGCTGGGGATGTGGCTCAAGCGGTAGCGCCGCTAGCCTGGCATGCGTGTGGCCCGGGTTCGATCCTCAGCACCACATACAAACAAAGATGTTGTGTCTGCCGAAAACTAAGAAATAAATATTAAAATTCTCTCTCTCTCTCTCTCTCTCTCTCTCTCTCTCTCTGTCTCTCTCACTCTCTCTTTAAAAAAAAAAAAAAAATTCCATACAAAGTTGACATAAGAAAAAAAGATTAAGGAGCAGAATAGTATCCTATAAATGAAAGCATGACAGAAAGACATCCCCACGAATGAAACATGACAGAAAGACATCCCCACGAAACAGGTAAAAACTTGGTAATAAAAACAGGTAATAACTTGGGTCTGGGGCTATAGCTCAAGGGTACAGCACTTGTCTAGCACAGGTGAAGCACTGGGTTTGACAGCACCACATAAAAAAGTAAATAAATAAAGTTATTAAAAAATAAAAAACTATAACTTACTACTACAAAATGAACTTAAAGACATTAAGCAAATGGGCCGGGAGAGGTGATGTACACTTGTAATCCCAGCAGCTTGGGAGGCAGAGGCAGGAGGATCACAAGTTCAAAACCAGCCTCAGCAATTTAGCAAGGCACTAAGCAACTCAGTGAGACCCTACCTCTAAATAAAATACATAATAGGGCTGGAGGGCTGGGGATGTGGCTCAAGCGGTAGCGCGCTCGCCTGGCATGCGTGCGGCCCGGGTTCCATCCTCAGCACCACATACAAACAAAGATGTTGTGTCAGCCAAAAACTGAAAAATAAATATTAAAAAAAAAATAAAATAAAGAAGCATAATAGGGCTGGAGATGTGGCTCAGTGGTCAAGTGCCCTGAGTTCAACCCCCAGTACCCCCCCAAAAAAAAGACATTAAGCAAATGGCAGAAGACATAAAAGAATATGAATCAGAATTAGGAAAACTCAAAAATGAGAAGACAGAAATTAGAAATTAAAGTAAAATATCATTTGAATAAAGGTTAAATCAGAAGAAATGTAAGAGCAAAGAGACATGACCTGAAAAATGCCCTAAAAGACTGAGGAAATAAAAAAGAAGACAACTTAAGTTAAAAAACAAAGAAAGAGATCAAAAGGATTCAGGCAAAAGTGACAAATATTGTAGACAAATAATCAACATGAGGATAAAAGAAGTCCTTGAATAAGAAAATCAAAGCAAAAGAGCAGAATGAATTCTAAAAACACAAATTAGAGAAAACTTTCCTGAAACAGAAAAAAAGCTTAATCTATATTTTGAAAAAGCAAACTGAGTATTTAACAAGGTTGACCCAGCACAACTGATACCAAGACACATTCAAAGATAAATTACTGGACTTTAAAGAAACTTGTACACAAATATTCATGTTCATAATCACCAAAAGTGAAAATAATCCAAATGTTCACCTATTAATCAATGTGTAAATACAACATAGGATATTATTCAAGAAAGGAATTGAAAAAAGGAATTACTGATATATGCCACAACATGCATGGACGCTGAAAACATGCTAGAAGCCAGACACCAAAAACCACATATGGTTTGATTAGACTAATATAAAATGTCCAGAATATAAAATGCATAGAAACTGAAAGTAGGATCATGATTGCCTGAGGGTAGGAAAACGGGGAATTGCATCTGATTTCTAATAGGTTTTAATTGGAGGGATGATGAAAAGTGGTAATGGTTATACTTTATACGAAATAAGCTAAAAACACTGAATTCTACATTTTCAAATTTTGGGCTGGGGTTGTGGCTCAGTTGTAGAACACTCGCCTAGCACAGATGAGGCATTGGGTTCAATCATCAGCATCACATAAAAATGAAATAAAGATATTGTGTGTCTACCTACAACTAAAAAAATAAATATTTTTTAAAAGTGGTAATTTTTTTTTTACTTTGATAGAAATTATCTTATTTTTTTACATTATGACAATAGTGGAATGTATTACCCTCATTATTACCCATTTACTGCACAAGTTTTCATGACTGTATATAAAGTATATTCACACCAAATTATGCCTATATACCACAATTTTTCATATCTCTGTATATAAGGTATGTTGACACCAACTTCAAATCTTCTTACATATATTTTGTATAATGATAACCATCACATTCCCCCATCCTTGCTATTTCCCTTCCCCCTCCCTTTTCCTCCCACCTCTCTTCCCTATCTAGAAATAATCATCCTCCCATGCTCTCCCTCCCTATCCCACTAAAAAAGTGGTAAATTTTATGTTTTGTGAATCACATCTCAATTTTAAAAATTCACCAATACTGGAAGTATAGTTCAGTGGTACAACACATGCTCAGTATCTGTGAGGCCTGAGTTCAATCCTCAGCAACAAAACATAAATAAATTCATCATTTATAAAATACTAAATAACTGGGAATCATGGCACATACCAGTAAAACTTGCAACTCGGGAGGCTGAGGCAGGAGGATCACAAGTTCAAGACCAGACTCGGGTACTTAGCAAGACCTGGTCTCAAAATAAAAAATAAATAAAGGGCTAGGGATGAGGCTCAATGGTAAAGCACCCTTGGGTTCAATTCCCCAATACCAAAAATAAATAAGTAAATCCTAAAATAAAGTCTCCTTTATCTAACTATTATTTTCTACCTCTTTCTAGCTTTAATCTTAGCTCCTGATGACGTCTGAGAGCAAGGGCCTACCCCCATGTTGTTTTAGGAAGAAATCCATGAAAGGCCAAAGTTAGACCTATAACTAAAATTAAACTCTCATGGAATTTCCATGCTATTCAACATGGCAAAAAAGGTACAATAAAATCTCTCTCTTCTTCCAAAAGAGTAAAAAATAAAGGAATAATGAAGATAGTCAATAGATAGTAACAGTAATGAAAATACCAATGGGCTAGGAAGCAAAGTTAAAGAATGCAATGTGCTCATGATTTGTTCCAGCTTTACTTAAAATTTACCTGTGAAACACCACAAAGTTAAAATAAACAATAATTTGGCCAAAGTACATGAGTAATTAAAAATTCCTTATAACATGCAATTATCATCAGCCTTTCTCTTCTATGTAACTTTTTATTTTTTTTTTTAATACTTGAGATTGAACCCAGGGGCTTAACCACTAAGCCACATTCTGGGCCCTTTTTAATTTTTATTGTGAGACAGTCAATAAATTGCTTAGGGCCTCTCTAAGTTGCTAAGGCTGGCTTTGAATTTGCAATCCTACTGCCTTATCCTCCCAAGTCACTGAGATTATAGGCATGTGCCACTGCACCTAACCTGTGTAACTTTTAAAAATTATTTTCCATTTGAAAATATTCAATCAATCATTATCTGTGAACAAATTGTCGGATTCATCAAAGTTACTCCCTATTGTCATTCCAACTATGAAAAATCCCTTCTCCAAACACTGTGCTAAAAATTTTACACAGATTATCTCATTTCATTCTATACCAACACCAAGGGGAAGACACTATTAATATTCCTACTTTATACCTGAGGAAACCAAAGCTAAAATATATTCAATCACTTGCCCAAAGTCACAATCTAGTGACAGAGTCAGTGGTTGGCTGATTCTGGAGCTCTGCTGTGTGCCCTCTTATCAACCTTCAAAACATGATTCGACCCAGCCAGAGAGCATGTGAGACCTCACTTATCAAGAAAGTACTTCTGCTCCCTGCTACACATTTCTCCAACACAAATCATTCTTTCCCAGATTCAAACTAAACCAACAAGAAGCCAGCTCTACAAAAGATGACTCCAACCTTCAGTGGATTCTCAATCCAGATGGCATTTTCACAGGTTTGAGCCAAAACCAGGTCATCCTGTAGCAGTGATGAACAAAAGCAAAGTTTAAATCAGTTTTTATGTTAATGTATTAATAGATGAATCTTCTCTTGATTATAGAGGTGGACTATTCTCACCATTCCTAGTAAAACAGATGACTTTATGCATATAATTCTTCAATAAAGAGTTTGGTTTTTTTTTTTTTTAATAGATAATAGGGCAATTGTTGTCAAGGGACCAATGATCAAAGACATCTTACAAGGTACCAGCCAGAAAGATTCTAGTCTAGGTGTCGGAAACAAGTTTTTTTGAAACAAGTTCTCCTACTTTACATGTGAGTCCCACAGTTGCTCATCCACAATGTACTTATCTTAGTGTGTCTGCATAGAACAAAGGAAAAGCAAGAATGGCTGAAAAGACAGATGCTAGTATTACTGTAGGTGGGAGGTACAACCCTTCACCTCCATGTTGTAGTTATCCTTCACTAGAAAAAAAAAATGCTTCTCTGAGCTCACAGCTCTTGTTAATCATTTAAACCAGCAACCCAAGGTTGGTTTACCACTGATTTATCTAATCTCACCCTTCAAAATGGATGCAAACCAACACATTACCAGCCACCAGGTTTTATCAATCATTTCAGCCCACCTTTTTCCCCCCATTTTTAAAAACAAACAGCATAAAAGTGGTCTTAAGGGACATTAGTCTATCATCCTCTCAGTCTTACTGTTTTTTTTTTTTCCCCAGGCAGTACTGGGGATCAAACTCAGGGTCTTGGGTATGCCACATCCTCAAGCCCCCTTCCCCATCTTCTCAGTTTTGCCGACTTACCAAACAAATTGTTTTCCTTGCCTCCAACAATATGTCTTTGATTGACTGCACCTTTATCAGGTGGCAAGTAAACCTACTTGGGTTTAGTAACACAGTAAGCCCAACTTTTTTCCTCCAATATGCAATGATGTCTTCCTTAGTAACTGTATCTATGTTGGGAGTCTCTATCAGCAGTTATGTATTTCACCTTTAAAGGAGATGTTTGGTTCTTTCCACAAAACAAGAGGAAGGCAACAGGGCTGAGAATAAGAATTTTTTAAATTCAATGGTACTTTATAGACAAAGTTCATTATCCAATGCAAGAGAAGTTGGGTGGTTTGCCCAAGATCATATACCTAATAAATGGCTGAGCTATGGCTAAAACAGAAAAGTTTCAAACTAAAACTACTCTCTTCACTTTTCCTGTTAGCAGGTTGCACTTTGTTTTTTTTTTTGTTTGTTTGGTTGGTTTTCTTTGCATTTCATGAGAAACCATGTTCATTCTCTGCTCTACCACTATTTTGTTGTTACTGGGCACAAATTGTTAAATAAGTGACAAAATGGTAGGTTCTTTTCTCTAAGATTGAGAACTTTATAAAACATCAGTAAATATTAGTAAAAGCTGGACACCAATTCTAATAAAAATAAATATTTGCCAAGTGTTAAGTGTCAAAAAAAAATAAATATTCAAAAACAGGCACCACTTCCACTGAAAATTCACAGCTTCAGAAAAACTAACAGCTGGTTTTTCTAAGAGTCCTGGAGAAGCTACAGACCCAGTCTAGCACAATTCGTTCCTTCATTTATTAAACAGTTGTAAGGTGTGTAATGCATGGCTGGCATTTTTTAAAATAAACAGCATGATGGTGCACATCCAGCTACTCTAGAGTCTGGGGCAGGAGAATGTTCAGTTCAAGACCAGATTGGGCAATTTAGTAAAACCCTGTATCAAAATTTAAAAAAAAAAGGTGGGATGATTTCAGTGATAGCTTGCCCAGTATGCACTGAGGCCCTGGGTTCAAGGAAGAAAAGAAAAAAGACAGTATTCCTTCTCCTGAAGGTAAAGAGCCCCGCAGTCTGGAGTGGTAAATCTAACCAGCTCCAAGCCCTGGCCATCTGGGTCTTCCCATCTGGTCCTCCACCCTGCCCCTATGCTCAGGGTAGTGTGGCAGTGGTCTCTGTCTAGGATGTTCCATCCTCCAGGTGGGCGGTGAGATTAAGCGCAGATAACTGGAGGCGTGACCCCAGGCGAGGCATAGCCCAGGACAACCCCAAACTAAGTGGAGACACCCCAGAGCCTTCACTAGAGCCTATAACCCCTTCTCAACACCTACTGACCCAAATTGTTCGCCTCAAAGCCCCCCAAAACCCATGGTTACCTCGGGGGGGTCTCTCGTGGTCCAGACTGCACACCCAAGACCCCAGGGGCAGCTTCAAGTCTCCTAGGCAGGAGACACAGGTAGCCCTCGGAGGTAAAAGTAAAAACTGTTGGAACCCGATGGACTTTAGGACCCAGAGAGAAGGGACAAGTAGCAAAGGGGGAGAAGAAAAGCCCCAGGGAGGTAAAGTTTACAACTGCCACTTCCGGAGGGTGGCGAGACGCGGTGCCCCTCGAAACCTTTCTCAGACTTTCTCAGACCGCCAGGCCCCGCCCCGGCCCCGCCCCAGCAGGCCCACCCCTTTCCGCCCCGCCTCCCGCAGCCCTGGACGCGCGGCTCCAGGATACGTACTCGGAGAACGCCGGGCTGAGATTGGAAGGGCCCTCCCGCGAAGCTGCGCGCCTTCGCTGGCCGGGAGAGCCGGCGCATGCGCCGTTGCTGAGGAGCGGCGCGCGCTCCCGCACCTGGCGCTCCGCCTCCCGGCACGAGAATTCGCCCAGCCCACTCTCCGGTGCGGTGTCCTCTGGGTGCAGTCCCCGTGTCCTGGTCTCAGACTCCCCAGAGCTGACTGGAAATGCAGATTTCCAGCCTCCTAATCCTTTTCACGCAGAATAAAAATCTGAGATCCAGCTGCTGCATCTTTAAACTAGCTGCTGTGCTGATTCCTACGGCCAAGGAAGACCCCGGGGGTCCTCTAGGGAAACTCGATGGCCTTGGTTCTGTACAAGTGGCTGCTTTCCCTCTGGACCGCTCCCCAGTTGCACAGCGCTTACATTCCCTCCTCCCATCCTCACTGCATCCCAGCTTCGGGTGGTAAACAGGGTTGGAAGAATGCGGGTCAGTGTTGATGCTGTTAAGGCCACTTTCTCTATAAATATTGCATAACCAGGTCCATCTCAAAAAAAAAAAAAAAAAAAAAAAGCCTTGGAGCAATAGTGTGCACTCCATCTCTCCTTCGCTTCTCTTCCCCCCCCATTCCCCACCCCCACCCCCGACACACACACACACACACACACACACACAAACATCCCTTCCTCTATAATTTATACAGTACTCTGGTTTCTTCAGATAGATGCTTCCCAATCTGCCGCCACCTCGGGGAGATTGGAAAATCAAATCCTCTTTTGTTCCTTGCCTTTTGAAGGCCTATTCCCCAAAGAACAATGCAAATTGTCGAGATTTTGATTAGGGATTTCTATGTTCCTCCCCCCCCACACACAGTGTTTAATACAAAAAGCCTTTTATGATAAACCCACTCTGTTGATTGTAATAAACCTGAAACCAGGTGTTGAGGTGGTCTGTCCCGAGCTCTCCCTCAGGAGAGCCAACGGTCATAAATAAAAATATATATTCAGATTAAAACCTCCTTTATTCTTGCAGCGCTGAAATCTTAATTGGCTTGAGTTTAGTCATTTTGATTTAAAAAGGAGGTCGTCCCTGCTTCTTAATACGTTAGCCAGAAAGGATAATTGCTTCAAAAGAAGAGCTTAAAGAAAAAAAATAGCTCACTCCAAAGTTTAGAAAATAGAACGGAAAATTACAACAAATAAGATTACAGCTTCATTTTGCAAGCCTTAAATACTATTTCTAAGTGTTTTTATTTGTGTTTTAACATCACATAAGTGAATATTGCATGGCAAGGATAAGTGTATTGTACACTCTAGTGCAATTTGAAGATTTCCGATCTTCATATATTTGATCATTCAGCATTTATACAATACAGACTATGTACCCAGCGTTGAGCTAGGTTATAGATATGCAGAGTGTATGCAGGGCCCAGTAGCACATACTTGTAATCCCAGCTACCAGGTGGCTGAGGCAGGAGGAGAGTATTTTGAAGCCAGCATGGACAATTTTACCAGACCCTAAATCCAAATAAAATTTTAAAGAGCTGGGAGTAGCTTAAATTATACTACAGAGCTATAGTAACAAAACTGCAGGTATCAGCACCAAAACAGACATGAAGACCAATGGTACAGACTAGAAGACACAGAGACAAACCCATATAAATACAGTTATCTTATACTAGACAAAAGCACCATAAATATACATTGGAGAAAAGATAGCCTCTTCAACAAATGGTGCTGGGAGAACTGGAAATCCATATGTAGCAAAATGAAATTAGACCCATCTCACCCTACACAAAACTTGACCCAAAATAGATCAAGGACCTAAGGCAGCGACTCTGTGCCTACAAAAAGAAAAAGTAGGCCCAAATCTCCATTATGTCAGCTTAAGAACCAAATTCTTCAATAAGACTCCTAAAGCGCAAGAAGTAAACTCAAGGCTCAATAAATGGGATGACATCAAACTAAGAAACTTCTTCACAGCAAAGGAATCAAGCATGAACAGAGAGCCTGCAGAACAGGAGAAAATCTTTGCCACCTACACCTCAGAGGATTCATCTCCAGGATATATAAAGAACTCAAAAAAACTTAAGACTGAAAAAAACAAATAACCCAATCAATAAATGGGCAAAGGAACTGAACTGACACTTCACAGAAGAAGAAATGCATATGGTCAACAAATATATGAAAAATGTTCAACATCTCTAGCAATTAGAGAAATGCAAGTTAAAACTACATTGAGGGGCTAGGGTTGTGGCTCAGTGGTAGAATGTTTGCCTAGCACATGTGAGGCACTGGGTTTGATTCTCAGCACTGCATATATAAATAAAATAAAGGTCCATTGCAACTAAAAAATATTTCAAAAAGAAAAACTACATTGAGGGTCTGAGGTTGTGGCTCAGTGATAAAGTGCTTGCCTACCACTTATGAGGCACTGGGTTCGATCCTTAGCACCACATGAAACTAAATAAATAAATAAAGGTATTGCACTTGTCTACAATTAAAACAATATTTAAAAAAAAAACTACGTTGAGATTTCACCTCACTTCACTAAATATGGCAATTATCAAGAATATAAGTATCAGTAAATGTTGACAAGGATGTGGAGAAAAAGGTACACTCATACATTGCTGGCGGCACTACAAATTAGTGCAACACTCTGTAAAGCATTATGGAGATTCCTTAGAAAACTATGAATGGAACCACCATTTGACCCAGTTATTCCTCTCCTCAGTATATACCCAAAGGACTTAAAATCAGCAAACTATAGTGACTTGGCCACATGTTTATAGCAGCTTAATTCACAATAACTAAGCTATGGAACCAACTTAGGTGCCCTTCAACAGATAAATGAATAAAGAAAATGTGGTACATATACACAATGGAATATTACTCAGCCTTAAAGAAGAATGAAATAATGGCATTTACCAGTAAATTAATGTAACTGGAGACTATCATGTTAAGTGAAATAAGCCAATACCAAAAAACCAAAAGCTGAATGTTCTCTCACATATGCAGATGCTGGCTTACAATGGTGGTGGTGGGGGTGGGGGAGTCACCAAATTGGACAGGGGGGAGTAGGGGTAAGGGAGGGGGAATGGTAATGGGAAAGGCAGTAGAATGAATCAGATATCAATGTCCTATATTCATGTATGAATACATAACCAGTGTAATTCTACATCATGTAAAACAAGAATGGGAAATTATACTCTGTGTATGTATGAAATGTCAAAATACACTCTACCATCATGTGTAACTGAAAAGAATAAATAAAAAAAGTTTTTAAAATAAAAATACAAGGGCTGGGGGTGTAGTTCATCTACTAAGAGCTTGTCTAGCACGCACCAGGCCCTGTGTTCAATCCCCAGTACCTCCAAGCAAATAAAAAAAGGAAAAAAAGAAATATAGAGTATATAATATGAGTGCAGTGGGGATCAGTGGAGAAATGTTAAAATCAACCCTATAAGGTCCTTGCTTGGTATCCGGACAGCCATCTTAAGTGACAGCCACCATTTTAAGGAAAAAGTTTCGCTTTCCTGCCCAAGGGCGTTTCTGAGAAAGGCTCACCACTCCCTCATACTAACCCAACCCCTAACTGCCTGCATTAGGACCCACTCAGCTCTGATTCCTGAGCCTGCCCCATAAACATCCTGGACCCCAAGCCTGTTTTACCTTTCTTTGCCATAGAGAGGTGGCCTTTATTAGTCAGCTCTGACAAACTCTCCTGTGTATCTCTGCCTGGTCTCCATCTTTCATTTCTCACTTACCCATCTCTCATTCCTCGCTTTCCCTTCAAACCCTGAGCACCTGGAAAGGATTTATAGAAAAGAACTTTGAATTTAGTCTGGGAAGGTATAGATTAACCAAATTAACAGGAAATTGGAAGGAAAACTTGGAAGCTACAAACACCAGCACAATAAATAGCAAGGAGGCATTTGAACAAGTGGAAGAAGCTCTGTGTGCAGGAGAAGGAGAAATATGCCAAGCCCAGGTCACAGAGAACCTTCTATATCATACTTAGGAGTTTATCAAGCAAGAAAACTACTGAAAGGTTTTAAGCAGAAAAAATTACAACAATTACACAGTAAATCAAATCATTCCAAAATACTTGAAGATTTTCTTTCTGATAGTTACAAGGTCCAGTCTCTGATATCTATTGTCTGTTATCTATTGCTACTTAAGAAAAAACATTTAAAGAGACACTCTCCAACTGACTTTTTTTTTTTTTTTTTTTTTTTTTGCTTCATTTCATTCATCTCTTCTTTCTACCAATGCTTTTCAAATATAATCAAATCTCAGGGGCTGGGGATATAGCTAAGTTGGTAAGCACAAGGCCCTGGGTTCAACCCCCCAGCACCACACACACACAAAAAAAAGATATAATTAAATCTATCCCCACCACTCAACCTAAATAGGTGAGACACCTGGATTAACTCTCCTCCGATTTCCAGCATAGGTGAGAGTCTACACTCCTTAGTTTCTCCAACTCTGACCATTTTGATGCTGCTCAAAGAACTGTTATCCCTCCTTGCCCCTCAACATGATGTTTCCTGGTTTTGCCCCCAACCTTCACTTTATGCCAGATAAGCTTCCTAGATGATGTTATCCATTCCTGCAGGTAGGAACTCTAGGTCCAGATATTTAGATCTTTAGGTCTACCTCTGACCTTTCCTGAGCTCTGATTTTGAACTTTTAACTCCTATTTGAACAGTGCCATTTTAATGTCTAACATTATTGAGTTCAGAATACCTAAGATGATTATCTTTCTCAACTCATCATGGGAGTCTCCCAAAGTACTCTTTTGCCTGTTTTTAAAATCTACCTTCTCCCCACCCCCAGTACTGGGGGCTGAACTCAG